GACAGTCCAACGGTGAGTGGCTCTTTTACTCTCAAACTTTATGTACTGTTTAAAGTTATCATAGTTAAATATTATAGGAAGATGATGAGAAATTAAATAATGTCCCCGTTAAAGGTCGGAGCCATCAGACTGACTGACATCAGATGAATGGCAATGTGCCAGCTTAACAGCAGATTCTGAAACCTCAATAATTAAATACAAAGGCATTTAAAGGGCTCCTAGAATAGCAGGAGAAGAGAAGCAGCCCACAGGAAAAGTGTAACAGCCTTTCTGTCTCTGAAGCGTTTAGCTTCCTGCTCTGCCAGCAAGTGACCGCTGCTCAAATGTACTGCATTGATAGATGAAAACTTGTATCTTTTATAATTTTATATTCTGTAGACTGATGTTCACTAGATGCAACACTAACTCTTGATGTCTAATAATATAGAGCTTAGCAAAGGTGTATTTAGGACAGATGCATTAAGTTATTAATGCAACTTTCACTTGTGCCGAATTCCATAATTTTATTCTCCTTTATGTCCTCACCTGCTGCTCTATATTAAAAAGTGCTTTGTGTACAAAATGGTACTTTACGTCCTTTTTCTACTGGATAACCAAATGATTATCGCTTCGGTACACCTCACTACTCCAACAAAGAACACTGACAAGTGCTTAATATTAACATTTAAAAATAAACGGTAACAGTGAAATTATAACTGTCTTGTGGCTTTGGTTAAACAGTCAGGCAGTGAAGAAAATGAAATAAAAGAGGACATACTTTTAAAGCTAAGAGCTGCCACTAAGTTTCCTAAATGGTCTTTAAAACTGCAGGCAGTACAGTCAGCACTGTTGCCTCACTGCAAGAGTGTCCTGGACTTGAATCTGCCAGCTGGGAGGGAGAAGCTTGCGTGGGTTCTCCCAGGGTACTCTGGCTTCCTCCCATAGCCCAAAGACATGCACACTAGGTTAATTGGGAATAGTAAACTGACTGAGTGTGAATGGCTCTCTTGTGTGACAAACTGGTACCTGTGACCTGGCTTTCACCCTATAACAGCTGGGATCCAGCCCCACTGTGACACTGACATGAAAGAAAAGTGGAAGAATATGTATGGATGGATGGATGGACGCTCAAAACTCACAGGGAAAAACTGAATATTGTTTTTATGGCATAGATACAATATACAAAACATAACATTAGGTACAATACCGCCAACTAAAACTAAACCAGTGTAGATGTATGGTCAGCTTGAAATTCGTAGTGCAGTTTACAGTGTTGCTGTATTACATTACGCTGGCAAGTCATTTTTTCGTATTAGTTTATTTTTATGTAAACTAACTACTATTTTTACGTGTCATTGATGTTAGGAAAAGCGCTATATAAATCCAATCCATTATTATTATTTTTATTGTTATGAGCTGGAAATGTGGAAAAGTCTGTATACTCGTTTTTGTTGATTCCCTTTAAGTAGAGTTTAGAATGGATACTTGGCTTCATAATGTGTGTGTGTTTAGCTTACTACCATCTGAATAGTTGATCTTCCCTTGCCTGCCCATTTTATTTCACTTCATTTGAATCACTGAACAAATCAGAGGTGTGGGTGGTGATGAGCTCTGGAACCAGGCTACATTTTCCCTACAATCAGTACTAAATTACACCGTGAAACAGACTCTGTGTTCCAAGAAATACAGAAAGTGAAATTGTTCCTCTCTTGGATGTTATTTGGATACCAAGGGGCCACTAAGAGAAGTGCTATGAAAATTTCAGGCTCTCTGACATAAACTATTCTTGTCTCAATCAAAGACGTCCATATAAATGTCTGTGGAAGCTAAGCTGTTAATGAGCTAATTCTTTATAGAGTGATAAAACAATTGCTAAACATAACATAAAATTTGTTGAATTTCTAGCTGCAGTGAAACAACGTCCCTTTAAATTGCATAAGGTGTTATATAATCTGTGTTTTAGCCAGAATGGGAATGGAGACAGGGTTTTTAGCCCTTACGTGACATTGATGTTAGGGTTCACATGCATCTTGTGTCCTACATGGGATTTCTTTGTTAAAGTGGCATTAAGAAGAAGCATGGGCTTTCATCACGTAGGATAGAAGAAAGCTTGTGATGGGCTGTCTCTTCGCCATGGGGACTACCTGCTTCAAATGAGATTCATGACAAATCCCCCTACGAGAGGCCGGCCAGTATGCTAGGTAATAGCATGCATGGCAGTACTTATCTATCTCCATTAAAGACACAGGTCATATCCCACAATGTCAAAACCATTAAATCAGAGAATATAGCATGATGGTAGGCTTAAACCGGGTGCTGAAGCAGCTGTGATTGAAGGAGGTGCTTTTAAATGATAGATTCTGTGCACTTTCTTCTTAAGATGAACTAAAACGCTGTAACAGGCTTTAATCAGGAAAAATGTTAGAAGAGAAATACATTTGCATTCTTGTCACCTGATATTGAGTTTTCACTGCAACTATTACTAGTCTGAGTGCCACTAGAGATCACTTCTGATGCTTTCACTCAGTTAGACCTACTAATATTAAATGCAATCACCTTGTCCTGCAATTGGGAGTTGCACCTTGATATGAAATCACTGTGATGTAACTGTGGCATACAATTTTCCATTTCAAGTTTATACTAAAAGAAAAGCTTATCTAACCTTTAAAAAGACTTGCACAGCACAATTGTGCTTAATTCTATATAATTTTGAGCTTCGGTGTGGACCCGTCAGTGAACACCAGCGCACATTTATCACGCACGATAAAATCAAAGCTCGGACAGTCAACTACTAGCCTCAGATTCATTTTAGCTTTCCATAACAGCGCAGGCAAGACTGATTCACTCTGAACTCCATAAGTCCTCTGAATGCATAAACTGACCCTCTCCGAGATTAATGTCTTCCTCAGTACCTGCAGGTCTGGACCGAACATCATCACTGTTTGTGTCTCGTTACAGACCAACCAACCAGATTTCGCCAGGTGCAGCTAATTAATGAAAAAGCACCAATGGAACCATTTGTAAGTCATTTCCAGAGCTCTTTAACCAAACCAACAAGCATAAAGCTGCAACTAATTTGTTATTATTATTATCGTTGAAAAATATGTCACTTATTTGTACTAAAAATCAAACAGCTTGTCAGATTTGTTTTGCCAAGTGTTTGAAAGGAAAAAAGGGGGAAAAAAACAAAGGAGAAAAATGCTTAGATTGTGATAACCTGAAAGCATGCATGTTCCCGGGAAAATAGACTTAAGAGTTTAAAGCTGTCAACTAACTCTATCCAATTAATTGACTCATTAGTTCAGCCCCTAAGGAAACTCGTCTGGTTCTTATCAACAATAAAAGTGAAATGACACACACACACACACACACACACACACACACACCTCAAAGTGCCCTACTGCATCCTAATATGGTGTAAATATGGTGTAAATCTGTGTGGTTCTTTGCTGGACCGAAAATCTTTCACCGTTCTAACTTGATTTCACAGCAAAGTGAGGCAACAAACCCAGAGGAATAATCTGACAGCGCCAACCTCTAATGGCCCAATTCCCAGCTGAGAACTACGTCTCCTGGTGTTCGGTTTAAGAGCACTTTCTTGCAAAATTGTGGTCATTTTGAGATCACTCTGTGTTGACTTGCAGGTATATGGAATAGTTAGGAGAGCTTGGTAATGTGTGATTTTATTTTTCTGCCCACAAGGCTGACTAAATGAGTTGAGTCATCCAACCAGGCTGTATTTTCTGACCTTTTACAGTTGGATCTTGGCTGATTAATTTAAGCAGATGGCTAAGCAGACTTAGACAGACTTTCTTTTGAATAAAGACATGCTTTTTTATGAAAAATATTCAAATCTTAACATGAATATGCAGGTTTGTGAAATGAAATATAAATTGGGAGTTGCTACAAGACATATGGTCATATCTCTGTCTTTTTCCAGTTATCCATTACCAGCCAGATCATGCCAAAATAAAGTGCTTTCATTACAGGTCAATATGGAGAGAAAAGCTGAGCAAACTGTTTTCCCATTCAGCATTTCTTACTGGCATCTTCTTTCATTTCTCTAATGAAGACCTCCAATGTGGATATTAATAATGAATAAAGGAGTTGGATACAGTGCTTTTTACTGTCTTTGTTAAGCAGGAAACCTGGTGCCAATTAAAATGGGCATGATGCTGCCTTGAGTTGCAGCCATCAGTGGGTATAATCATAATAGTTAACACTGTGGCAGCAGGACTGAGATTGACACATTTGTGTATAATGACAAAGAGACACTGAGACCCAACAACAAGCTGCTCTTCTCTTTGAAGACAGTGGACGGTTACCACAAAAAAAAAAAAAAAAAAAAAAAAAAAAAAAAAAAATCAATATTCCAGCTCCATTCAATTACACAGAGAGCAGGTACCTCAGTGACACTCACAGCAATGACTGATGTACTGCTGCTGATGGTCACTTTTAGAGGCTTTACTTGAAAAGAAAAAGAAGAAATTCTGCTATTTAAAGTTTGAAAATGTATATTTAAGGATATTTTGACTGATAGAGCCATTTAATGTTTTTCAGTATATGAACACGTCACGTGGATATGTATCATGGTGTATTTCGCATAAATGCAAAAGTTAAGGCAAAGATAGTTATACACATCGATACCTGTAGTGGGAAAATGCACCTACACTAAAAGCATCCACGCACGGACGCTCACAAATAAGCACGTGCACGTAGGCATATCCGTTTTGCATAGCCGACCACACAGACTGAGGAATAGCGCTAATTTATCATTCTCGTTCTTGAGTTATTGTTGATTAATTAAATGCCATTTTACGGAAAGATTTGAAATACAGTTGTGATCATACAGCCGTGCTAAAGGCTGAAGGAGGGGGCGACCGATGAACTCCTTCCAACTTAATTTCATCAGCTTTTTGCAATCAAAACCCGAACCGTGATTGTTTTACTTTGTTTCCCGGGCGAGGACAGGTGACATTGGTTAATTGGTGCTCTAATAGAAAAGACAAGTTTTTACTCACCCAAAGTTATAAGATGAAAGAGATAAACTCCCCACAGATCCATCTCCGTTTGAAATTTGAATTTCTGGTTATGCGTCGGAGCTACACCTACAGCAGGATAATTACACGGTAAGAATGAAGTGCCCCTTTATGCATTTGGAGATCATTATTTGCGCAAAGAGAATAACCTCTTGAAAAATCCTCAAATCGTCTTTTTCTATTTGTCCCTGTCTTTTTTGTCTTACAATCCCATCAGTCACTTCCAAGTCGCTGTTAGAGTCGCGCTTTTGCGCAAAGGCAGAGCCATGCGTAATATTGTGAGGGGAAGTTGTCCTGTGCGTTGTACGGTCCGGTATTATCAGAGAGCCTTCTGTTGCACGTCGAGGTGGTCACACAGGTCCTTGAGTCCGCTGCTGGAGAGATGCAGAGTGCTGGGGAGAACCACTGCCAAAGACGGGGAGGAGGGGGACTGTTTGTGTAGGAAGGGACATTTTAAACCGCATGCTTACGTGGTCAGTGCTTAGCGGTGAAAATGAGACGTTAATTCACAGAAACACTATAATGTTATGACTCAGAGGACCTACGGTGTGGCGAAAGTAGTTAACTGTGTCTTCACTTACTCTGTGATACTATTGAGCATCTCATGTTTTCCTTACAGTTTCTGATTTTCTAACCCAAAAAATGCAGAATATTTCAAGCAGTTGACTCTATACTTTTAACGCTACCTGAATTCCATGAAACATTAAGAGATAAAGAGCTCCCTTTTTATAATTCCTACTGTTCACTTCCCTGTCCCGTCTCATCACCTCAAGGTCTAACACCTGCCATTCAAATTGCTTATATAATAAAAAGTATGAGATTTTGCAGCCAGTTAATAAAGAAAGTGTTTGAGCTCCCCAAATGTTATTAAAGAAGCCGAACAAAAGGTTAAAAACAATACCGACTCTCAAAAAAGGCACATTTGGGGCATTCTCAACCAGAAGTCTGTTTGATTAGGCGTCTTTGTACGAGCTCTAACAGTTGAAATATGCTAACCTAACATCATTATTAGAAGATACTGATGAGATAGCTAATATAGACACACATAAGATAAATACGAGAGACACCATCTGATGGCTGAAGACAGAAAAATCGTTTTTCTAATCACAGGACAACACCCGGATACCAGTGTGAAAGTCACATGTTTCAAACAATATTAATACACTGCAGTCTTATCAAACTATAAAGTTTTCTCTTTTGTTTCACGGAAAACCTTTAATGCTTGCCCCCTACAGAGAGGTGGATGCAGTTCCCGATCAGTACTGACAGCCAGACCAAATGCTCAATTTTCAGAGCTGTTCACTGTTTTGAAACAGACAGTTATTGATTCTTTAGTGTTAAGAATTCAACTTTCGCACCATCTGTTCGTTTTATGGTTCAGAGGGAAGAGAACATCAGTGGACCAGGATGTGCATTTAGAGTTTGTTGACTGACCACTTTAGTGCATCTCCAAAACGGCAGCAACAAATAGAGTTTCCAGATGATCCATGCAAACAAAGCTGGTGAGAAGCAGATAACAAAAGAGTCACAGTATTGGATCAGCCTCAGTGTGTATGCTTTACTGTATACTTGTGCACGTGTTTGTGTCTATAAAGCAACCAAGGGTCCAAAAGGATGATCCAGCTGTGCATGGAAGACAGAATGAAGACCTCGGAAGGGCCATTTCCGCCTGTTAGTATTATCTTTACTGCCTGTGGCTGCTGTGCTGTAGTGCTTCAATGGACTTACATGAGCCAGCAACATTCATTTAAACATTTTCAGAGCCTTAGTTGTTTCAACTTATTATTTTTTGCTGAAGTCTCACATTGGAAAAAGTGTAACTGTAAAATGTCTTTATGGCTCAACGATTGTAATTTTAGTTCCCTAACAAGTTTGCAGTGAGAATCTCTGGAACGATACATTAACATTTCCATTGGGAGTCCTTAAACATGGGAAGATGGGCTCTGAAACTAATTTCTGAAGCTTTAAAGAGCAGCTCAGTGCCATGGGGATTTCTTCATACATATTTGCAATGTGCATCTGCATTTGTAATTCAAATTAACATTAAATTTGGAAGAATGAAAAAGCCAAGTAAATGGAAGAATTAGAGAGAAAATGTCTGTTTTCTCATAACCCATTATTCTCCGGCTCCCTCCAAGTCTATCGTGGATTCAGAAAGGTCTATTTTATGCTCAAATTAGGGAATGTTGACCAAATGTCATCCTAATCCCCTCCGCTAGGAGTTCTCTTGTAGATGGACCTGCCTGGTAAACATGATTATGTTGCCCTTTAGAGACTAAGTTACTGCCAGTAGATCCAGAATTTCTTACTTCTATAACGATCTTTCAGTTTGGAGAGGAGGTGCCATTTAAAGGTGGGAGATGGACAGCTCTCAGTTTTTGCTTCAGGCGAAGGTTCATTGATTTCCTATCCTTGTGACACAGAGCAGTGAGGACAACATTAATGAGGGATTAGTTATTGTACCCATAATCGCTAATGTCAAAATCACCAAACTGGGTGATGAAAAGAAGCTTTGTAAATATTTCTTGAAACCATTTAGCAGCCATATTCACTGCAGGCTGATTTCTGCTTGAAGAATCAAAGCATTATATCCTCATTGTCTTTTACTTTAGTCTAGAGTGTCCTATTTGATGGATACTTTTGTTTAGTTAATTGTTTTTCCTGTGATATAGTTTGTAGTTTAGTTTTATTGCTGATGACAGTACAACAGTGAGGCAGCATGTACAACAAAGGAAGAATACACCATACTGTCCCGAGGAGCATCTATCGTAATGCGAAACCAGAAGTTCAAAAAGTAAAAGAAAGGCCTACAGCTGATAAAAAAAAAAAAAAGACTTGACAGTGTGAAAGAATTTTTTCACTACTCAAAGAATTTAGAGAGCTGCATTAAAACGCTTTAGTTTAGCTTAGAGAAATGTCGTATTCATCCATTCTCTTCCACTTATTCATTTCAGGGTCATGGGATGCAGCTGGAGCCCATCCCAGGTGCAATGGAGCAAGAAGTACATCCTGGACAGATCACCAGTCTGTCGCAGGGCTATCTAGTAGCCTAAAACTAAAATTTGGATAGAAGAGCAAGAGATTGGTGCATGGATTTGTCTAGTGGTATATTGATGCAGACAACAGATGAGGAAGACTCCTGACATAATGATTTTTGGGTAGGCACTAAAGGGATGGAATTGTGGATGCAGCCAGCAGCCGTAGACTTCCTCTGGAGATGTCTGACTTCTCTGTTGGAGTGGGGTGGAGAGCTTGATCATTCCAGGGGGAATTAGGAGTGCAAGTTAAGCTGCTTCAGGCATCTGATCAGGATGTCTCCTGGGCACTTCAGGCACGTGAACGTCTGGGTGTCTGTCCTGGATGAGTTGGAGGAGGTTGCCGGGATTTAGGATGGATCAGTTTTTCAGGCAGACAATTATGCCCAATCATATGTGAGGGTATGTGCTCTGTCTCTGTAACATATACAGCTGGTTGGAGATTGTCATCTTCATTAATGTTAGATCCCCAAACACTATATTCCAATAAGGAAAGAGCATTTGAAATGACTTAAACGTGATTTATTGAGATAAAGAATTAATCATTGTGGTGTTTAGACTCCAGTGACAACTTATGGCAGAACAGAATCCCAGCAGTGACTGGATTAAGAACAGGACCCACCAGAGTGTAGATGCTGGTGGAGGTGAAGATCTGAGTGACATGAATGTGGTAAAGGGGGTGAGTTGGGGGGTGGATAGCATCACACAAGAGTCTGACAGAGCACGCATCGTGGAGGATGACTGGCCCAGAAAAAAGGCTGACAAGAAGATGATGGGAATAGAGTAAAGATGTGAAAGCGTTTTTTGAAACAATAAGAGCAGCAGCCAAACAGGAAGCAGGCAGATCAGTGATCACACAGCTACCTTCTTGAACTTACACACAGGCTTCATTAGCTTAGCATGCCATTTACAGTAGTTCACACATGTGCGCTCTAAGTAGTCACCACAACAGCAACCTTTACCCCCCCCCAGGCCATGCTAAGGATAAAGTAGCCAAGTGAATAGCCACAAGACAACGACTGAATTGAAACATTATATACACAATGCAATAATGTTTAAATAGTGACTTTGCTATTAATTACTGCCAGTTTGTTCTCAGTTATGTTGATATTGTACTAATCACTTCTCTTGTATACCTATTACCATAATATGAGATCAGACCTTTCTGTCCTTGAGAAGAAACATTAACTGCCATTTGTTCTCTGCTGTTGTAAACAAATGACACTCACTTGAACCTGTACCAGGGTGGATAATCCACCACAGCAAACATAATGCTTTCAATTTAATTGTGTTACTTTGTTGCCCAAGTTGAAGATTTTTGTTCTCCTCTGCTGCCGATCATCTGACTTTTCCCAGCAGGAAAATGTGCTCAGCAAGAACTTAAGCATTACTTTACCTTTTCTCTCGTATTCATTTCTAACATATTTGGGTTATTTACAGTTGTGATCAGAGGTTTACATCTTCCACGCAGCACCTTCACTGTCTGCAATGATAAGGATTAAGCCACAATCAATACATTAATTGGTGCCTGCTGATACAATGAAATAACAATAAACAAATAAACAGCAACACCCATTAAAATTGTCATCAGCTATTCGCTGTCAAGTTAAACCAGTTTTAAAACAAATTACAACAGCCAGCAGTGTATAAGGATCTCGGCCCAACAGCCAGAAATCCACCCTGGCAAAGCAGCAGCTTGGCAAGCTGTAAATGAAAACAGGACATCAATTACACTGAAGAATTTACCTCAGAAGGAATATCTCTGCCACTTTGTCTGTTTTTCAGTTACCTGTGTCCAGGTAACTAAAGTAAGTATCGGTAATCAACATCCAAGAGGTGGGAGCCCACTACAAGTTTCCACAGGGGTGCAAATAACTTTAAACCTCTACCAAACTCTACCAAAACTCAAGCAGAATGGTTTCTGTGACCTACCGCTCCAACAGAAGGCTATGCAATCCACACCAAGCTATCATAGAAAAGTTAAAAAGGCCAAATAGCACAGCGTAGACCAGGTATTCACACAGCTCCAGGTTCACACAACAGATGGACTAACTACCTGCACCTGTGCTTATAAAAGGGAACAACCTGGCCCCGCCTACCAGGGGCGGTTCCCAGACTCAGGTCTCACCTGTCACATAAACATACGTTCAAACTTCAGCACCCAAGTCTTCTTGGATTAATTAAAGATGCATACTGTGCAATCATTCCACCCTGGAAAAAGAACAGTTAGCATGGTATTCATGTTCATGACGAGCGTAAATAAACTGCATACAACAACATACAAACACAATAAATAACAACACATCACTTGTTTTAAGGTGGACGGTGGGTTAGAACTGGAAGCAAAAGCTCATGTTTAGTGTTCAATAATGGGGGTGGCTTCTCTCTGCACCTTCAAACATTCACAGCGTTGACTTAAAAGGATCCCATACATACAGCTCCCAGGATAGTGACATCATGTCTGTACTTGATTGCAAACAGAACAGTAGCTGTTCTCTGTGAACGCTTGAGACATTTGCTTTCTCACTCTTCTCGCCTTTTTTTGCACCTTAATGAACTAAGGACAGATTTGAAACAGCTTAGACCGTCTTCTTTTAAGTAACAGAATTGTGTTTCTCTGTTAAAGAAGTGTAATGTGATTTATTAAAGCTTAAAGCTTAAACTTTGCACCATACAATTTTATTGTACTGTTAAACATGCAAGGAAATTTAGGAGTATGTAGTCACAACAACCTGGCAAGCGTGTCACCGATACCATGCCAAATAGAGTGATGCTCAATTGGTGCCAGACTCCATGGCGAACATTTGCACAGACGGTGACTTTGTTACCTCTCACTAGAACAGATGGTGTGTCTCGTGCATGGTGTGTGGAAGGTTACTCCTCTCTAGATGCCTACTTGTGTCTTAAACTTCATTTGGACCACACAGGTGCAGACACAAACACACACACTTGCACAGAGACAGAAGAGAGAGGGCACTATTGAATTAATTAATCAGTAAGTGATACAAAGGTAATAGTTCTCTAATGCCTCAGTGAAGACTGAAGGTATTTTTCCCCAACAACTTTATTTAGAATATACAGCATGCTTACTGAGTCTTTTCTCATACTTTAAACCGTCTTTTTCACCTTGGAGTTCAGCCATTATCACTCATGTAATCAAAGATTAGTAGAGCGAAAAGATCAAGTTACACTGGCAGTGACAGATTCATGAGTTCTTGCTTTCTCAGTACAGGCTATCTATCTGTGGGGTAGGTCTAAAGGGGTGATAAGGTTATCCGAGAACATCTATCACTGATTTCCTGACACTCCCGGTGGCCAAAAATAATCAGATGGCACCTGGATCAACAGCTCTGTGTTTTAAGTTCCACAACTCATCTCTCATGTGTGAGTATTCACACCAAAATAAGTGGGCCAGTCCAAGTTTTCTGCGTGTATATAGATGTCTCTCTTTGGTCTTTATCACAGATATCTCTATGAGATGTTTGTAGGAAGAGATGCTGCTGTTGAAAAAAGAGGTTAGTCATGATGTTTTATTTCACTGCTGGGATGCTGAATTGTAAAATGCTTCCTACATTCCTTCCAGCTTCGTAGGTTTCAGGTGATTATAATCTTCTACAGCTAATCACTGTGTACTAATAACAAATAATAACAAATACACAAATACACAAGTTGACTAACTTGTGTATTTGTGATGCTTTAGAATCAACAGATTCATTTGACATATCATTATTAATCCAGGATGATATGCTACAGTTTAGTAGTACATGGACCCTCTATTTTAACTGACTTCCTTTATGCTACCACGTCTGGATGACGTGTTGTTCCACTGTTTTTCAGCTGCTGCTTGTGCTGTGTTAAAGGGTTTTCAGTCATGATGCAACAATGGTACTACTGCACTATGAAGCCCATTATTTCCAGTGGCTTCCACTACAAAACTTTGCCGCTTCACCGAGCAAAGCGTACATACACTGCGGTCAAAGTTCATTTATTTTGAACTATAATCTACCCATGCTGTGATAAACACCCGCGGACCGACAGAAACCAAGCATCCAGTCAGGCAAGGACAACAAAATCTGAGTGTGTCATTCTGAATTCCCTGAATTGACCCCAGTCTGTATTTGTATCTATCCTGAAAACTTGGTATACCGGTGTGTGTGTTTTAGTCTGGTAGGTGGTTTAAGGTAGACTACCAACAGCTTGTGTAACTGTGTAAGCAGTTAAGCGTTAACTGCTCCACCCAATCTCTCTATAGAGTATATAGTAGTTTCCCAAATTTAGTTAATAAGTTAATGAGGTACAAAAGTTTTCATACAGAAATTTTTTATTTCAGTGAAATAGTCCCACAAGAAACTTTTAGATCTCCACCTTGTTGGAGTTGGTTAATATAATGATGACACTCTTCAAAAAAGAGGTGTTATTGTGGGATAATATCTATAATACCTATGCTCAGCCTGCACTTAATGCCTATCACAGTTAAACGATGTGTGCATCTTAAATTATAAACTAAAGTATCACCTATATCTTCCTGCTGATCATTCAAATCACAAGTTAGCACTTCTTTAAATGCTATTTTTAAAAGTCTGAGAACAGAATAGAAGAAAAAGTTCTTCACAAATGAGAAGAAAATCTACCAAACATTATATGTGATGCAATGCAATTACACACAATAGATCTTTAGTTTAAACAAAGAAGGAACTTACATGTCAGTCTGAGACGAGAGCGATCAAGCTTGTGTTAGTGTTGGAGTTTGTGAGTGTGCGTTAGTAGATACTTGGAATTTGTTTAGATTGAAAACAGATCATTAGTTTGGAACATCTGCACAGAGCAGTTGTTTTTGAATGCGTATTTAACCCCCGCCAACACCCCGCAAACACAGAGGGGTACGCAGGTAAACACACGCAAGATTTAACCTTTTAGTGCCTAAACCTGACCAAGTGTTAACAGAAAAGATAAAGTTAAAAACAACAACAACAACAAGTGTGCAAAAGAAAAAACAAAAACTCCCCACAATGCTTGTTTCATTGTGCCATCTGTCAGCCCTCCTACCTCATAATGTGGGCTTTAATGGTTTTTTCTTCTTCCTCGTGTTTGAAAATCTGCACAGAAATGGTATCCCTGTGTGTCAGAACATACGGGTTTCATTAAAATATGATGAAAAGGGATTCCTTAGCAACTACCAGAACATAACAAATCAAGAGTGAGACTATAGTTTAACAATGGATGTGTTCATCTGATCGTTGAATACCTGAGAAACAACTGTATGCTCCTCACACCAGCCCAGAAAAGTATTTGAGCTCACTAGGTTGTAAGGAACTGACCTTATCATTATTATTATTGTTTATTTACAATGACTGCATCACATAAGTTGCATATACAGTACATGACTAATGCTACATTAAAGCATTGGGCATTTCACTTTGTGGTGGCATGGTGGTGTAACGGTTCGCACTTTGGCCTCATAGTGAGCGGTTTAACCACCAAGTCAGTTGGCGTTTGTATGCTCACCTCGTGCTTGCGTGGGTTTCTGCTGGATATGCTCAATTCCCCATTGAATAAGTTGTAAAGTAGATTAACGTGTGGATGGATGGATTTCAGTTTGTGAGAATACAAATAAACTGGAATGAATTCTTGCAGATTTATGCTGGCAGCTCATTGGTTAAAATTAAATGGTTTCTGTACTTGGTGGGGGACAGCCATCGAAACATACAGGATATGCATACAGTTACTAATCCTTTTAGGGGTTTTAGTAATTACATAAAAACATCAGTATAAAGTGGAGATCGTAATCAATATGCAGATTTAATACTTTAATGCTACTCTGACAGTAAAAGATGGAACTCTTTTCCACATGTCTGTGTTGTGACCTATGTTTTAACACTGACCTGACACCCATTCATTGACAGCCGTGTATATGGATCCCCTGGGAAAAACACAATTAGCCAAATTAGAAGGCAGCGTCTGGTGAGGGCAAAGGTCAAAATGGGAGCCAAAGCTGTTTTCCATAGTGGTTCTAAGCCAAACAGCTCAGCCAGCTCAATTACCTTTGCAGTTATCGCACAGTAACCTCACATATAAACATAAGTTGTTATTTTGTGTTTATTCGTCACTCGCTAAACACCTACATACATCAACACATACCAGAATGTTCACGTGCCCAAATTTCTCTTTTAAACTCACGGTTTATAATTGTCTTCATAGAACATTTTACATAATTTCCATAATGTATTCAGAAACCCTTTGAAGTCCTCACTGCTTTCATTCCCCCTCAAACAAGCTGAAGAAACAATTTACCTTGTGTCTTTATTTAACAGGCTGCAGAGTGAGTGGTTGAAGCCACGTATCTGTCTTCAAGCAGGAAAAAAATGAATTTACAATTTTTGATGAGCCCTGCATCTATGCAAGTAGTTATTCGTGAAATGATCTGTTTGGCTGTGCAGAGGGGGTGCAACTTTAAAAATCCAGACAGCAGTTTGCAAGCTGTTTTTGTGGAGTTTTGTTCTTGTTATACCGCTGCTGCTTGATTTGTATTAACAAGGAATGCAGCAGCTGCTTGTGAGAGGATTTGTTGGGAAGCTGTGGCAACATATGCGATAATAATTTTTATTTTTTTTCACCATCTGTGGTGTATGTAAGGAGTATGACAGCTCCTACGTCAAGTAGTGATTCAATCTTTTGGCCCCAAGGTAACTCGATGTTATCCTTCAAGTCATGCAGTATTCAGCTGTGTATGACTTTCAGTACCTTGCATTCCTCATACTGGCCTGAGGTTTACATGAATATTGCATAGTACTATGCTCTATGGTGAATTCCATGTTGTGTGCCGTGTATCCCATTACTTAATGAATTATAGATAGGGGTTATGGAAGAGGGATAGCTCACATTTAGTGTGATCTCCATTGCTGATTTTAGGGCAAACAAAGATATTTGCCAAAAACAACAGTCGCATATAAAGAGTCGTTTTAATTGTGTTTGGTTTTTTAAGTTGTTCTTTTTTTTTAACTTTTTTACTCCTTTTTTACTGCTTAAGTAAAACTT